GAATGATGCAATCTGAAGCTGGTATTGTGTCATACATGATATGAATTACATCATGTTATTCCTAGAAGTCATGGATGATGCAATCATAACGAAGCTTACATCACTCTGCTGAACAAATTGCCCTATATCAGCTCTAGAAATCATACAGTGTCGTGCTCTCTTATTTGTCAGTGTTTGATTTTGCAAAGGGACACATTTCTGTTTAGCCAAAATGAGCAGAGATGCCTCGTACTTGTGTGAACAGTGCAGATAACTTCTGCTATGTTTGTGGTGAAGTGACTTTTGCATCACAAAAGCGCAGTATAACCACTATGGTTAAGAAAGCCTATCACCTTTATTTTGGCTGCAAAATTGGAGATCAGGACAAGAGGTGGGCCCCACACATATGCTGCAACACTTGTGCAACAAATCTTCGCCAGTGGTTGAACAGGAAAATGAAGTCTATGCCTTTTGCAGTGCCAATGATTTGGAGAGAGCCAACAGATCATACCAGCAATTGTTACTTCTGCATGGTGCCTCCAATTGGAAAAGGTGTGTCAAAGAAGAAAAAGTGGACTGTGCATTATCCAAACATTCCATCAGCTATACGCCCAGTACCCCACAGAGAAGGACTGCCGGTTTCTGATGCACCAGAATCATTCTCACTTGAGTCAGACGAGGAAGAGGATGAAACTTCTGGTCCTGAGCCATCAATGTCACAGGACCCACATTTTCTCCCATCCTCCTCCTCTGAACCACACCTCATAACACAAGGTGAACTGAATGACCTTGTCAGGGATTTGGAACTACCCAAGAGTAAGGCAGAGCTGTTGGGCTCCAGACTACAGCAGTGGAATCTCCTGGCAGGTGATGTTAGGGTTTCCATTTTCCGTGACCGTCAAAAGGATCTTGTCCCATTCTTCTTCATGGAAGGTGATCTTGTAGCCTGCAACAACATCGATGGTGTGATGGCAGCCCTCAACATCGTTTACGATCCAGATGAGTGGAGACTGTTCACTGATTCATTGAAGACGAGTCTTAAAGCTGTTTTACTGCATAATGGCAATGTTTTGCCATCAATTCCAGTTGGTCATGCAGTCCATATGAAGGAAACCTATGACAACATGAAACAACTTTTGAGGTGCATAAACTATGACCAACATCAGTGGCAGCTTTGTGGCGATTTGAAGGTTGTTGCTCTCTTGCTTGGTCTGCAGACTGGATACACAAAGTACTGCTGTTTTCTCTGCGAATGGGATAGTCGTGCAAGAGATTCCCACTACATCAAGAAAGATTGGCCACTCCGACAGTCATTGGAGCCTGGGAGGAAAAGTGTTCAGCATCCACCACTTGTTGAATCAAGGAAGATTTTGTTACCACCCTTACACATCAAGCTGGGTCTGATGAAGAACTTTGTGAAGGCCATTGACAAAACACAAGCAGCTTTCAAGTACCTCCATGGAAAATTTCCAAGGTTAAGTGAAGCTAAGATAAAGGAAGGTGTCTTTGTTGGTCCTCAGATTCGTGAACTTCTTCGAGATGATGCATTTGACCATGCACTGCGTGGCAAGGAAAAGACGGCATGGAAAGCCTTCCAGTTAGTGGCAATAAATTTTCTCGGAAACAACAAGGCAGACAACTACAGGTTGTTGGTGGAAAACCTCCTCAAGGCATACAAAAGCCTTGGTTGCAACATGTCACTAAAGATACATTTTTTGCACTCTCATCTAGATTTTTTTCCATCGAACTGCGGAGCAGTGAGCGACGAGCACGGCGAGCGATTTCACCAGGACATTGCAACAATGGAGAAATGCTATCAGGGCAAATGGAGCCCATCAATGCTTGCAGACTATTGCTGGACAGTGACAAGAGATGCTCCATTTAATGAATACAAGAGACAAGCCAAGAAGCACTGAGTAGACACTGAATAGGACTAAACTATGTACATAATAGTTTTTTGCCTTTTGTTTCATAATAAGTTTTATTTATATAACCCTTTTGCTGATTTTTGAAGTGTTACATAAAGAGGACAGGTGAAATATTATCATGTAAAGCAACCATAAACACATGAAAAGACCTAGGTTTACAATTTATGATTAAAACTCTACTATCTACACAATATACATAGACATAAAATGTAAAAACTTAAATATCTTAGAAACAGTAGCCAATCAGTTGTTTTAATTGTCATATTTGAATTCAGCACATCAAAATACATAATAAATAGCACATTTTATCTCTGAAGCAGACGACTTCTCAAAAATTGTAGACCAGTGTTATTTGTCTGGACTGGATTCAGCTTGGTGACGAGCCATTACTAGGATTTTTTAAACAAATATTTACCGTACAACCTCACGAATTTGGGACTTCTTGCTTGTCTTCCTTCCCAATAGCTTGGACAAAGATTTGTGACACAGATGCTCCATCTGAATAGTCTATACAGGAAGACTCAAGAGACTTCATCTCCATTCATGATGAGAGACTCCTTATGGCTCGTGTGTCTAGTGCTGACCTCTGGAGCCCAACATCAATGCGTCTGCCTGCATGAGCATCTAGAGACCATAGTACCCATGAATAGCAACACTGACAAGAAAGGATGCCTCATAGAGAAATGATAGATCAAATTCTCTGCTGGTGTAAATGGGCACAGCCCCATTGATTCCATTTGGCCTGATACCTCTGGCAACAGCAGCCATGTAATGCTCTCCTTTGGGAGCCACATCATTTCATTACTCCATATCTCATCAGCAATACTAACAGCGTCTTATCTCATACCAGTCACAATCATTCCTTTTCTTGTATGAATCATGCCTCATTAACCTTTTTATTAACCAGGTAATCACTACTGCTATCCAGAGCACAAGCTTACCTTATAATAATAATGAATACGTCATGAACATGGTAGCAGATACATCCCTCACAGAAGTTAGACATGGAAAAGTCCTATTAGACCACCCCCTCCATAAAATGCCCTACTCCGCTGAAAAATGGCAAGAGCTAGGCTGCATTAGTTACCCTATCTTTGCAGCTCAGCAGCTTGTGTTTTGTACTGTGTGCCAAATGTAAGATGGCGTAAGACAGACTCTCTTACACTCAGTTAGACTTCCTCAGACCTACTTACACCCACTTACTGATATGTTAAGGAGCCCAAGTTAGTGTAATTCACCTACTGAGAGGCCAGAAGATACAGTAGACACAATAGTATAACTGGCTATACAAAGAGAGGACTATAGCAAGAAAAGCAACATCCATCAAGGTGCAAGACCGTGCAAGTTAAAGACACTCTGCAGTGTATCAGTTATATCAAAATAAGTTTCCTCGGCACTTATTTTTCCATCCCAGTTCTTACACTGCACGTACGTACACACACACACACCCTGTATTATTTGAGTGCCCTTCGGAGTCAGGCTGCGTAAGGAAATTTAAGGTATCCCACCTTACTCAACATCTCTGAGTAAGGCCCTATTGTTTATTATTGCAAAGGAATGTTTTTGGTTTTCCCCGAGGATTTGTTAAAAAGAATACTGTAGCAGTACTCTGTTACCTGCAAACTCGGCACAGCAGAATGTTTTGCAACTGCTGGTAGTTTGTCCATGAACATACAGTTCCCCATGTCACATAGTGTGTGGATTATGACTGGCTGTTCCATGACAGGGTTTGTCTGGCGGTACCACTGTGTCAGGGACGATGATTGCGGCACACAAAGCAGGAATCCCCGTGTTTGTGACAGGAGGGATCGGAGGGGTCCATCGCGAAGGAGAGAAGAGTAAGAGGAGCATTGCACTTCATATTGTCTCTTTGTTGTTGAATTAATGTTAAAGTTTTATTTGTTTACGTCCACCTTTTCCCTCTTTCCTGATTAGTCTGTATAGGCCCACAGTATTCTCCTGCTGGGAAGAGTAAAACAATCACCACCTGCCTCATTCCAAAGATGGGGATAAATCTACACTAAGGCTCTGACCCCACTATGCTGGGTATCTATAGCACAAAGTTTAATTAGCACACTTCTCAGAAAAATATCCCTGACTACACTGGCCAGGGAAATCATACAAGAACCCTACCAGGAACAGGCCTGTAGACACATAGTTGATGCTGGCAATGGTTTCAGCATGAGTGTCGTCAGGACCTCTGATATTTCACCTGCCTTTCTTTCCAATTCTTTCTCTCCACAAGGCTCAACTTCTTTCTCTGGAACACCTATATTTCCCAAGGGAGGTGGGAGCTTCTCTTGACCTTTCTCCCATCCACAGAACGGTGTGTATACCATTTGATGGTGCTTGCTAGCCAGTAATTCAGTCCAATGGGAGCTGGCTGCACCCTTTGTAGTAGCAAGCTATGCTGATACAGACTATCAGGGAAGCTGACGTTATTGGGGATACTGATAAATATGCTTAGCTCTCTGTACTCAGGTGAGACTCTTTTGCAAGCGAGCAGAATTGGGCCCTGGTCAGTGCTTAGGATGGGTGACCCATAAAGGACAACCTAGGATGCTGTAGGAACATGACTTTTTAGTGGCATTCTCCCTTCTGAATCAGTACTGAACCAAATGCTCCAGCATAGTGTTGGAGGCACTGTGCTGCTGAAAGGGCTGCCTTTCGGATGAGATGTAAAACCAAGACCATGATCCCTTGCGGTCAAGAAACATCCCACAGCACATTTTGCAAGTGAGGGGGTATGACTCATCGTGTTCCGGCCAATGCCCAAATGTAGAGAATTATATTCCTCTTATGTAAAATTTGCACTGCAATTTTAGTTGGACGCAACATTCTTCTTCACTTCCATCTCCCAAGCAAGTGAGGAGAGCATGACAATTAGGAATGCAACTCTGTCACTAACACAAAGGCCACTTGTCCCTTAACAGCTATGGATGTGAGTGCTGACCTGACTGAGCTAGGACGCACTGCAGTTGCTGTGGTTTCCGCAGGCGTTAAGTCTATTCTGGACATTGGTAGGACACTGGAATATCTGGTAGGTAGCACAAGTTGCTGTGTGGGCTGCTGAAAATGACGGCAGAGAACCAGTCAACCCCCGATGACCCCATTGTTCTTGCCAACATTGTCTCACTAAGCCAGATTCTAAGGCCATCACATTTGCCACCACAGTTACGTATCTGACTCCTTGCTTTGAAAAAGACTGTGCAATATCTAGAGTAGAAAAGAGGATGTGTAAAACTAACCAAATTCTATTCTACAATGTGGCAACTCTTAGCTGGGTAGGTGGGAAAGTAGCCACTGTTGGTGGCTCTTCATTCCATCTGCTGATTATTTGTTCATCTCATCTTTATTGTTGTAGGAGACTCAGGGAGTCTGCGTGGCTGCCTTTGGAGACTCAAGGGAATTCCCTGCCTTCTTCTCCCGCCAGAGTGGCTTCCAAGCACCGTGTCAGGTGCAGAATGAGGAGGAGGCTGCCAAACTTATTGGTGAGTTTGCGGTGGAGAAAGGCCCAAGCTGTGAAGTTCAGATTTGGATCAGGAGGCAGGGGTTCACACAGATTGCTGTGTTTTAATGATGTACTTTCTGTGTTAATTTCACCTAGAGGGTGGCTGTCCAGAAGAACACCTTTTCTGTCCCCTTGCTTTGGAAGCAGAGAAAGAGAAAAGGGTCGGCCTTTAGATGGAACCAACTAAGCAGAAGTTACATATGCCTTGAGTCAAGGGTGCTGGAACAATTTGTATAGTGGGGGTGCTGAGACCCACTGAACCAAACTGTAAACCCTGTGTATGATGGAAACCACTTCAAGCCGGGGGGTGTGGCAGCACCCCCAGCAGCCCCAGTTCCAGCACCTGTGCTCTGAGTTGCACAGAGTTATTCGTACACACCCTGGCACTCTCACATACATGCAGTTTACCTGCTCTGAGGATCTGGAGGGGTTTCAGGTGAGCCCCTTGTTAACAAAGCTGGCCTCTGGACCTCAGGAAGGAGAATCACAGCTAGCTTTAAAAAAAAAAAAAAAGTCTCTGTCCCTTTTCATTGCAAAGATGGACTTGAAAATATAAGCTGATGCAAACGGATTGCTACGGCTGAAGGGACTATGCAGCTGGTCTCCACTTCTGGAGCAGGCTGGGAATACAAACAGATTTCCCTCTACCTCCTCTCCTCCCCTCCCTTCACACACACACACACACACACACACACACACGGTCTCCACTTGTGGAGCAGGCTTTGGAAATTTTCCGATGGAATATTTTCCCATTGATTTGCTGAAAGCAAAACGTTTTGCAGAAATGCATCATGTCACCTTTGATGAAAATTAGTTTTGAGACAAAAATAGAAAAAAAGCATTTCAGTAAGGTTGAAACATGCCATTTCGATTTTTTCAGAACAGAGTGTTTTGATCTTCTGTTTCAAAATGACTTTTTGTTTCAATTTTTTTCATTTTATCTTATGAAGTCTAATAGAAAATAAAAAAAATGAAACAAAAAGTCATAAAAAAGTCAAAATCAGAACCAAACTATTTTACTTTGTCAAAACAAAACAGTTCAATTGACCCAAAACACTTTTTTTCTTTTTTGGAATATTTGTTTGTAGGGGGTGTTTTGTGTTTTCAATCCCTTCTGGAATGAAACAATTTTGAAATTGTGAAACTCCCCCTGGAATGAAAAATCTGGGTCCAGCACAGCTCTGGAGTTTAGTTTGGGTATATCCTGAAGAATCATCTCTCGAACTCTCCCCCAAAATCCTCAGTGCAGCCCCGTGCATGGTATAATTGTGGAAAGAAACTGGTTACATATTGGGGGACAATAAATTCTTTTGCAATCTGCCCAGGAACATGAAGCTGGCTCTGCTTGTTAAACTCTTCAGCCCTCTCTGAATTCAGCCACTATTGCTACTGCAAAGGGAATTCTCTCCTTATGTCCCCTGTCATGGGGGAGAACCCACATGGTCCCTGCAGCCCCTCCAAACTTCCACCAGCAGTCATAGACTCATAGGATCATAGGATTGGAAGAGATCTCAAGAGGTCATCTAGTCCCTGCACTCAAGGCAGGACCAAGCATTATCTAGACCATCCCTGACAGTGGATGAGGAGACAGGGCCAAGCTGCTACAGCACTGTGTGGGAGTCTTGTGGCCACAGCAAGCTACTATTTTGGCCAGAGATTGTGTGTCTGCCCAGCCCCAGCCTGAAATCAGAAGAACTGTTATTAGGAGGGAGTGTGGAGCCATGTTCTCCCACTCACTCTCCCACCCATCCTCATACTTTACCATATTGGGGAGACTGTCTTGCTTACATACAAACCAGCTAGGAGGGACCTCCAGTGGCCAGGGGAGACCTGCCCACCTTAAGAACCAAAAGGAACTTATTCCCCAACTGACTACCCAGCCCACCGCCAGCAGAGAACTGCTATCCGCCCACTCAACCATCCCACAATCAAGGCCACAGGAAATCTTGTCTGCCAGCATTGCCACTGTGAGGACCAGCTGCCAGGCAAGGGAACTGCTTAGGCAATATGTCTACACTAGCCATTTTCAGGAAATCTCCCACTGCTGCAGCACCACCATTGGCAGCAACAGTGGGAGCACTAGAGTAGACAGAGCACAGACGCACAGGTGTTACCACCACCCACTCATCTAACCCTGCTCAAAGCAGGTCTAGACAAGGGAGCCCCTTCTTAAAATGTTGTCTTCACGTCTCTGCTTTCCTCACACATATACTTGACATATACACAGACCTCCCCTCCCCGCATCAGAGTTTACACATACAACCTACAGGCTCGTGTAACTTATGTGTTCCCAGCTGTGCCTAACCCACAAAGGATGTGTGTGTTATAGCCCCCTGCTGTGAGGCCTGATTCTTCTTAGCTCAGTCTGCAGAGACTTGTGCTTTCAGCTCTGGAGATCACTGGTTCATTCCTTGATGCCAGGGAACATTCCATCACACTTATGCATGCGCTCTCACTCTCTCTCTCCTATGCCTTGGTGTTTCACAGTTTGATTGGATTATTCAGCTCACACAGACACAACTAACAGCTGTCTCTCCTCTCTCAGCCAGCACCTTGGCACTGGGCCTGGGCAGTGGAGTGCTGATTGCAGTGCCCTGCCCTAAGGAGGAAGCTGCTTCAGGACAGGTCATTGAAGATGCCATCCAAGAAGCTCTGAGCAACGCCCGGTGAGAAACACTCCAAACTTTGTCGTTAATTTACTCTGTGGTTGTGACCACCTAAGGGGCTCCAGTGCTTATCATAAGTACTCAACTCCTTGGCACAGACCAGGGATGGGCATTTTAAAAGAGAACAGCATTGCCTTAAAAAAAATTAAATATTCCCATCTCCTCTCCAGAATTTATGGGCAGACACAGAAACTTTAAATACATTTATATTTCAAAACAAAAATGATTTGAAAATTAGCTCCCCCTTTCACTTTCCCCTGCAACTATTCATTATGTGTGAAATTCACCCTTGTGCAGATTGCCAAAACAAGATCTATGTACTACTTGAACCCTCTTCTGCAGAGAGATGAATTTCACTCCATATCAGTAATAACTCCTAAGGCAAGCTAAGGAAGTGCAGAAAAATACTGTTCTTTGGAGGTGAGGGAAACCCAGAACACAATTTTTAACAGCTAAGTAAAAGGAGAAAATGTTTTTCTAACTACTTTGCTTTGAAAATGAGTAGTAATTTTAAATCTATACTTAGATTATGTTGCAGATCTCAGGGGCCCCAGACTACTCTTGCTGTGATCATTTCTCTAGACTACACTGCAACAAGGATATAGTGCAGACTATGTCCTTAATCTCAGGTCTGGGTGACTCCCTGATATGATTTTCACTATAGTTCTATGTACTGAGGCTTGTTTACTGGGCCTTAGATGGCATGCAGTTATATAGCTAGATTATCTGTTAGTAATCAGTGAGTCCACTCTGATGCCTTGCTAGCTCACTTCTTATCAAAAGGTATTTTCTTTTTGTTCGCAGGTCGAAAGGGATCACAGGGAAAGAGCTGACTCCCTTTATGCTACAGAAGGTGAATGAACTGACTAGTGGAAAATCGTTGGACTCCAGTATCCTTTTACTAAAGAAAAAAAATATTCCACAACCCCCCCCCCCAAAAAAAATTTAATTGGACAGGTTGACCACAGAATACCGTCACTGTTGTTAATCTGGAAACTTGAAAGGGCAAATACTTTAGCATTTCAAAACAGCTGAATGCACAGAAACAGTTGTTAAACTTGTTAACACTCTGTCTCCCTCAATTTCTGCTGTAAAAACTGGTGACTGGCAAAGAGAGGAGGTGTTCTAAAGCCAAGGCTCTCCTGCAATTTTCAGGACAGGCAGTACACCAAACACCCAAGCTGCCAGGCTCCCTCTGTCTTAGAGAGAAGACTCTGGGCATCATTATTATATGCCACTTGAGTAGCATTTGTGCTTGAGCGTACTGGAGTATGGTCAACCACCCTGCATATGGGGAGAAAAAAGATGGCCCAGCAGTTAGGGAGTACACTTGGGAGACATGGATTCAACTCCCTAGTACGCTACAGGCTTCCTGTGTGATCTTAGGCAAGTCAGGTAGGGCCAGATCCTCAAAGGTATTTAGGCACCTAACTGTTAGGCTCCCCATCTGATAGCGTTTCCCTGCGTCCGAGGTATGTGGTAAAGATAAATGCCTTTAAAGATTGTGAGGTGTCCACGCACTAGGGGAATCTGGCATATGTACAATAACTAGAGTGGGGTGAATCAGGACCAAGAGGTCCCCCTGTGTCGTTGTCCCTGCCTCCACTTCCTGTTCTCTTCCCCTTAGGGAAGGGAAGTTCCTACACAGGCTTCTCCCAGACCAGGTTCTTGCCGTTTATTTCTTTAAAAAAGAATTTCCATTCAGACATTGCTCTGATCCAGAACAATGCCAGAGTGGGCAGCCGCATAGCTGTGGCCCTGAGCAAGATCCAAACTGCCACAGGGAAGGGCAACCTGCCTCGGCGTGAGAAAGTAACTTCACTTAGGCCTGTGAGTCCTCTGCTCTTCCGTGTGTAGTGCCTATCTACAAATAGCGTTATAGATAAGTTCACAGCTAGTGTCCGAAACATGGTAACTCTTCACTGTGGGGCATGGACCGTCCATTCTGCTGTAAACAGTTGGAGAGTCTCTCTTCGCTCTCTAATTTCCCTCAGGTGCTTTTTAAATCCTCTTCATTCTTTATTTTCATTCCCCCTTTCTAAAAGCTTCTCTGAGCCAGAGTCCTCAGTGATTAGCACTGGCATTGGCCTTAGTCATCAAAGAGGACCCCTAGCACATTCAGCTTGGGTTTCCTACAAATGCCTTTAAAGTCCTATCTTGTTTTCACATTTCCCCCCTTCCCCCCACATAGATACCTTTCCCAACACACACATCAACTTAGTTGACGTCAATGCAAAGTACGGTCATGTCTGCACTATAGAGCAGGGATCTCAAACTCAAATCACCACAAGGGCCACATGAGGACTAGTACGTTGGCCCGAGGGGTGCATCACTGAAACCTTTTCATACAATGATACAAAAGTATAGTCAAAAATGAAGAGTAATATAGTATGCTATTAAAAGTCAATGTATTAACTTTTTAAAAACTGTAATGCAAAGAGGGGTTTTAATAAAATATAAACACTCAGTAATGCACCTCACTCAAATGACAAAACACGCATTTACTTTTAGAATTACTTTGGTTAAAGCCTCTGCCCCTGGCCCCGCCCGCACTCCACCCCTTCCATGAGGCCCTCCCCCTGCCCCTGCCCCACCTCTTCCCATCCCTTCCACGCCCCCATTCCAACCCCTTCCCCAAAGTCCCTGCCCCAACTCTGCCCCTATTCCAACCCCTTCCCCAAATCCCCGCCCCGGCCCCACCTCTTCTCCGCCTCCTCCCCTGAGCGCACCATGTCCCCGCTCCTCCCCCCCTCTCCTGGAAAGTCCTACGTGCCGCCAAACAGCTGTTTGGCGGCGGGAAGCACTGGGAGGTAGGCAGAGGAGCGGGGATGCAGCGCACTCAGACGGGGGGTGAGGGGAGCTTGGCTGCCGGTGGAATCAGTGCCTATGGTGGACCATAGGAAATAAGTACGTGGGCCGCATGTTTGAGACCCCGGATATAGAGCCTTGGCCAATATAGCTATGCTGGCAGAGCCCCCTAGCGTAGGCACAGTGTAAACTTGCAGAAAGAGTTATTCTGCTGGCATAGCTACACCCCTTCCCCAAACAACATTAGCTAGGCTGACAGAAGCACTCTTCTGTCAGTCTAGTTGCATTTACACTATTTGTTTGGGGGTTTTTAATTATTTTTTCCACACTCATAACCAACATAGCTGTGCCGACAAAACTTTGTATTTTTGGTGTTGTGTGTGCGTCTAATACCCTGCATGCCCCAAGCAATTTATTCTTCTGCGGCTGGCTGTAAGGAGGAGTAGTTCAGAGGGTAGAATTCAGAATAGATTTTCCTTTCTTTCCAAAGGTGCTCTGTGGAAGGACTGTCTGGTCTGGCCTAGCCAGATAAGATCAGGCCTTCACAGTATGATTTTCATCTACTTTGAGAGGTTGGTGGGAGAGCGAGCTTGAGAAAAGCAAACAAAACTCAGCACTTCTTCTGGCCAATTTTTTCCTCCACTCTCCCCCGCCCCTCTCATTAAGGTGGTGATTGGCGGCATCAATGTGGACTTCATAGCCAAGGCGAGAAATACCACCATACAGGTACTGTATCTAAAGCACGCTTAGACACTACCATTCTCAACTACTTTCATGCGAGTTCCAAGCATGTGTAGCGTATCTGAATATGGAAGTGCAGAGTGGGTGCCTAATGTGCCTTTATATATGGGGAGGGTACAGTGTCATGTATTGGTGTAATACAGGGGTAGTCAATAGGTGGACTGTGGGTCAAATACAGACCGCCAGATGCTTTTGAATGGACCCTGGAATATTTTTATTAACTTATCATCATCATCGTTTTTTTTCTTTTAATTATTTTCTCAAGTCTGGACATTGACTATACCTTGACCAAGACATTGGGACCTTGACAAAAGATAATTGACTACCTCTGGTGTAATATGTGTCTGTGGGCACACATCATAGCCTAATCAGACCTGCATCCAAGCTGATCTCAGTGCATTTCGTGGCAGGAGAGGAGGCACAAAAGTGGCAATATACCACCTTTGTGGCCCTCATATTCAGAGGCTGTCTTCTGGAGGCTGCTCTGACCCAGGTGTGTAAGTTAAGGCAGCTCAAATTTACATCCAGCTGCTCCCAATCCCAAGGGGCTGTTCTAGCTGAACAGCTGGTGCACAGAGCTGCCCTGCCAAGCTCCCATTTTCCCCAGGCACATCGCCGGTACCAGATGCTGGAAGTGAGGTAATGGAACAGCCATGCTACTTCTGCAGCACCCTAGGATAACCCTTTTACACTGGCACGTCCCAGGAGGAAGTTTTTTGTCCTTTTTGTTGCCAAACCATAGCAATGCAAACCAATGGGAGCAGGAGCCAAAATCTGGTCCAATGTCTGTATGTGGAGTAGTGAGTGTAGGTTTATTTTTATTTGTGTGTATAGCGCATGTCCGTGTGTCAAACTGCACAGACTATAGCATGGCAAGTAAGTGTATAATGTAGTTCTGGGGGTGTGTACAGGAAGTATGTGTGTATGGGTAGAGAACATTTACGCAGGGGAACTCCTATCTGCAGGGCCGGCTCCAGGCACCAGCCCACCAAGCTTGTGCTTGGGGCGGCACCTGGAGGGGGGCGGCGCGGCGCTCCGGCCGCCGGGGAGACGGGGCCACGGCCGGGGCTCGCCGCCCTCCTCCCAGGGCTCTGGCCGCCATCCCCCCCGGGGCCCTCCCCCCGGCCGCCGGGGGGAGAGCGGAGCCCCCGCCGGGGCTCGCCACCCTCCCCCCAGGGCTCTGGCTGCCCTCCCCCCCCTTCCCCCCGCTGGGGCGGGGGGGGCGGCCGGAGGCTTTTTTGCCTGGGGCGGCAAAAAAGCCAGAGCCGGCCCTGCCTATCTGTGCAGAAACAAATCTTAAGAAGTCTTTCACAAAAGCTGTGGTGTTACAGTTACAGCCAATCTGCTTAACTAACTTGGATTTGGATGGGAAATCACTTTTAGTGTAAAAAAACATATGAAGTTGTAAATGTCACCAGCAACTCATTCTCTCACTTTTTTTTTTAAAGGAAGTATCTTTTAAAATCTATTTGGTATCTCAAGAGTTTTGTCTGGAACAGAATTGTGTCATCTCCATTTCAAAGCATGTCTGCTTGCCTTTAAAATGTATATGTACTTTTTATTTTTTTGTTTTCTGATGGGAGGTAGTATACAGTATAGCTGAATATGGCTTTATGCATTTATGTGAGGTTGAGTGGGACTCCTGGTTGGCCTGGCTTAAATTACAATGCACTGATTGCTGAATTAGGGACTGGGGCAAAATCCTGCTCTCGAATATGGTATCCTGCTCTCCGCACCTGTGCAGGGGAGTAATTGCTGGAGGAATCCAGCATTCATAGCTAGGGAACATGAACGAAGAGGTTATATTGCACACAAAAGTAATAAGATGTGGGCCATGCCAGATCACGGAGAGTGAATTCTAGAGCGGAGAACATTTCCCTGTTGCTGGTCCCCAGGAGTTTTATCTGGGAAATGACATCAGACATAGCCTTAGTGACAACAGCTGTGACAGGGCACAGAGGAAGAAGCCAACTGTAAAATACAAGATCCCTAGTCTATTTAGGCTTTTAGGGCCAGATTTTTAAAAGAGCTCTCATTGTTCTTGGGAAGGTAGTGTAGCATTGTGATTACAGCATTGGCCTAGAAATCAGGAGAGAAGAGTTTAATTCCTTGAGTCTGACACAAACTTAATTTCTCTGTGCTTATTTCCCTGTATCTAAAATGAGGATAATAGTAATTCTTTCTTCCTGCCTTTCTTTTTCTGCTGTCTAGTTTGTAGTACAATGGGGCCTTGATTTCTGTTGGGATATTTTTCCTGGAAGGCTGGAATTATTCTGTGTCCGTATTTTAGTTTGAAATTATATGTTGTCAGTAGTAGATTTTTCTAAAGCCCACTTTTCCTTGTATGTTGTCTAGTCTCACCTTAAATCATAAGATTCTTTTGTGAGCTATAGTATAGCGATACATTTGTCAACAACTACTGTTGCTATTGTGAATAGGGGGCATTCTGCAGTGGGAAATACTCCATAATATTACATTCTGTATTTGGAAATATTTCCCTGAATACAGTAAGTTGGATTTGTATTAAACCACATGCTAAAGGTATAACACACTGGCTACGTTGTGTCCCTCTCTAATGGCTGCTCCACATAGAGGATGAGTCTACTGTTCCTCTACCAGTTAAATGAGTAAATCTGGTAGTTGGTAGCAGTAATAGGCATTTACAAGATAAAAGCCTACTTGTAATACCAGCTAATGGCATTACATGTTTAGCTCATATGGTAGGGGCCTGGCTTTTGGTGCTGATGCTCCAGATTCAGTCCATGCAAATGACCCACTGTGAGGATTGTTACAAAGGTATTTTTCAGGCTATTTATGTGACATCAGAAAGTTTGGTTCCAATGGCAGTGCCAGGAAAATGTGTCTCGTAACTTCTCTGACTGCAAGCATCTCCAACAGCCACTGGGAGGCTGTATGAGTTCATTTTGTTAGTGATAACAGCTATGTAGCTGAATTCTCTCTAAGGTGGCAAAGACACGGTGGTATGAAGATGACTCTGTATCTTCTGGAACTCGATTGCTCATTTCACTTTTATATGCAGCAAACTGCCTGTCTCTGCATCATTGTGGGCTGCATAAAGTCTGGCTATTAGTCCTTCAGTTCATCCTCTTTGGCTGAGCCTTTGCAGACAATGTTTCCCCACTTAGATCTACAGTACAGTTGGTAGAAATATTTATGAAAGCATGACCCTTCTAGTTTGTTCTGTTAAATCAGACATTCGAATGATTGCAGATGCTGCAGGCACGTGGGGTTCAGCGTGGGGAGGTCAGTCATGGCTCTCCGGGTGAGGGCAGGTTTCTGGAGCAACCCTGGGGTCAGCTTAGTGCACCAGCTGTAGCCAGGCCTCCCAGCTCAGGGGGAAAGGGATGCAGTTCATTTGCAACCCAGGGAAGCTACACTGCACCTCAGCCAGGGCTCCCCAGGATGCAGGATCACTGGGCGGTAGGCAACTGCCCTTCCACCTAAATCGTGCCCTATGAGCATTTCAGGTTTTTAAAAAGGGGTGGGGGCAGTAGCCCTTTTGCCCCCGTCTCCGGCGCCTACAGGGGGCTGGCTGGGGATGCATTTTGGCACTCGGCACCCATGTTTAAACGTATGCTTGGAAAATATTCCTCCCCTCCTTGAAATCTCTGGGATTTCCAGAGCAATGATAATCCTCATGACCTCCCCTGAAAGAACAGGAAAACGTGTTGTTAGGGTTCCCTCATCACTCTGAACTTTAGGGTACAGATGTGGGGACCCGCATGAAAGACCCCCCTAAGCTTATTTTTACCAGCTTAGGTTAAAACTTCCCCAAGGCACAAATCCTTTCCTTATCCTTGGATGGTATTGCTGCCACCACCAAGTGATTTAGACACAAATTCAGGAAAAAGGGCCACTTGGAGTCTCTGTTTCCCCAAAATATTCCCCCAAGCCCATTCACCCCCTTTCCTGGGGGAGGCTTGAGAATAGTATACTAACAAATTGGTTACAATGTGAGCACAAACCAAACCCCTTGGTTTTTAGGACACTGAAAATCAATCAGGTTCTTAAAAGAAGAATTTTATTAAAAAAAAAAGTAAAAGAATCACACCTGCAAAATCAGGATGGAAGGTAACTTTACAGGGTAAATAAAAAGATTTAAAACACAGAGGATTCCCCTCTGACTCTGCTTTCCAGTTACAAAACAGGAATGAAATTACCTCTTAGCATAGGGAAAATTCACAAACTAAAACAAAAGATAATCTAATGCATTTCCTTGCCTTACTTACAATTTTTGTAATCTTAGATGCTCATTTCAGGTATGTTTCCAGGAGATGTTTTTCCTGCCTGGACCCTCTCTCCGTCCAGAGAGGGAACAACCAAAGGGAGCACAAGCAAAACTTCCCCCGCTCCCCCCCCATTTGAAAGTATCTTCTTTCCCCATTGGTCCTTCTGGTCAGGTGCCAACTAGGTTAACTGAACTGATTAACCCCTCTTACAGGTAAGGCAATTCAGTACAGCTGCCCTGTGTATATTTATGACACATGTTTCTCTGGTTCATGCGCTAAGAGCTCTAGGACTTGTTGATAATAAGCGATGACACCCCAACTGACTTGAGAGAGATCTTTCACCTGCCAGGTGGGGTGAGGCAAGCAGCCTGTCCTGTTTCTAGCTGGAGGATTTAGGGCTGCTGCATCTCAACAGGAGCCAGGTGAGGTAATGTACTGGTGGGGGAAAGCAGAGTTTGTTCCACAGCCCAGAATCTGGCCACGTGTGTGACAGACTAACAGAGCACTTTAAAGAAAGCAAGAGAAAGTTGAAAGAATGGGCAGGAGGAGAGAGAAAGCAGCAGCCAGACAGATGGAACAGAAGGGCATTCATGAGGACGGAGACATTTAGGAAGAGAATGGAGGGGGAAAGGATATATAGATAGTGACGCAGACACTTCTGGGGACAGAGAGAAGGATGCACAGCACAGGCAGACGTTGTAAAGCAGAGGTTTAATCCGACACTATCTATTAAATGATTTAAGAAGGATATTCCTAAACTGCTTAAATGAGGGTATGAATGGGTTGGAGGCTGGTAATGGAATACAGAGTCTTTTGCCCGAGGGCCAGTGGTTCACGTCCAGTCTGAGTTGGTCACTGTCTTAGTACAGAACTGTTCAGATCACATAAAACACTACAGTTGGCATCCTTGTAAGTAATCTCAGCACATAAGGCCAATATATTCAATGAACTAGGAGCATGAACTGCCCTCCGACCTACCCCCAGAAGTGGTCCTTTCTGCTCAGAGTTGAAGCAGGTGGGTAGGATAAGAAAGCTTGCACAGTTTTCTGTTCTGAAGCTAGAAGATGTCGGTCTCCACAGCTGTGTCAAGCCTACCATTTCAGAATCATTCAGTTCACTTTAAACATATTCAGAGAAATTCTCTCTGTTCTATTCAACTTTCCCAACTCTACTAACTTCCGATTTACTCTTTCAGGCTGGTGGACAGACAAACGCTGGGCAAGTGAGCCAATCTTTCGGAGGTGTGGGGAGAAACCTGGCAGGTGCTTAGTGGTGGGTTTTGTTTGTGGGGGCATGCAAGTAACGGTTTATTGTGTATTGTTTGTATTGCAGGAGTGACTAAGCCCCAATCAGGATCAGAGCCCCACAGTGCTAGACACTGTACAAACACACAAGTGGATGCAGTCCCTGCCCTGAAGAGCTTACAATCTATTAGGAAACCAGACGCAACAAGTGGACATTACAAGAAATAGAAGGGGAGGGCTGGAAGGCAAGCAAGGGTAATGAAAATAAGGTCTTGCAATTACATGCAGTAACTATTTCACAGCGCAATGGCTCCAAATCAGAATTAAACCAACAAACATCAGTCTTCCCTGATAACTGCTGCAAACCTAGTCAGCATTAGTTAGCTGACTTCCTACAGGAGCCACAGTAGCTTTAGAGATTAACTCAGGGAGGACGTTCCACGCATAAGGGGCAAGCATGGAAATATTTGTGGGAAACGCAGACAAAGGGACCTTCAAGGCTGTGATCATTAGGGGGACATAATAAGATATGTGTTGCGCAGTCATTGGCACCACTCCAATAGCTCAGGTTTAGACTACTTGAATTACCGGTGCCATAATGAGCAGAGCTTGATATTTTGTTTATTTAGGGAAAGGAGAGAAGGTTTAAAGAAAAAACCCTAACGTATCTCATGTAGGAGCAGAGAAGTTATTTCACCTCCGTATTTGGCATTAGTTCGACTGCTGCTGGAATACTATGTCCAAAGTTTTGGTGTCCACAGTTCAAGAAGTATGTCGATAAATTGGAGACAGTTCAGAGAAGAACCACGAGAATGATTAAAGGATTAGAAAATGTGCCTTATAGTGATAGACTCAACAAGCTCAATCTATTTAACTTATCAAAGAGAAGGTTAAGGGGTGACTTGATTTAAAAATTGTCAGTGGTGGAGAATCCACCATAATCTTTGGTAAGTTGTTCCAATTGTTAATTACCCTCACTGCTAAACATTTATGCCTTATTTCCAGTCTGAATTTGTCTAGCTTCAACTTCCGACCATTGGATCCTGTTAGACCTTTCTCTGCTAGATTGAAGAGCCCATTACCAAATATTTGTTCCCCACATAGGTACTTACAGACTGTAATCAAGATTGGATGTTTTTCTAAAAGATCTGCTCTAGGAATTATCTTGGGGAAGTTCTCTGGCCTGTGTTATACTGGAGGTCAGACTAGATGATCACAGTGGTTCCTTCTGGCCTTGGAATCTGTGAACCCTGGAGTTAAGCTTTGAGGTCAGTCCCCAAATCTTGCTAATGTGAATCTGCCATCACCTCAGAGCAAGGAACGGATGGGCTTAAAAAAAACCCTCCATGCCAGTGAAATATTTGTGATAATTTGGGAAACTCATTCTCCACTAGGAGTCAGTTCTAGTCCAAGGTACAGCTGGAGCAGTGGAGTGGGAAGCCTAGTGGTGATAGGGTATGTCTACACAGCATTTTGGAGCGAGTCTCCCAGACTGAGTTGATAGATTCAGGTTAGCGGGGCTTGCGCTAGTGCTCTAAAAATAGCTGTGTAGACAGCGCTCTGAAGGTGCAGCTCAGGCTGGAACTTGGGTTCTGAAGCCCATCCCCTTCCATAGGCTTCAGAATCCAAGCCACATCTTCACAGTGCTGTCTACACAGTCATTTTTAGAGCACTATTCCGAGTCTGTCGACCCAGGCTTGGAGTGTAGACAAAATGCAGTGTAGACGTATTCACAGAATCCATGCATAGAAATGATAGGGAGGGACTTTGGGTTGCACTTCTGCAGGTGGGATCCCAAGGAAGAAAGGTGTTGATTGGGGGTGTTTCTTCCTTGCCCACCTCTCCACTTCCCCCATTACCAATTCAAACTAGCTACACAGCCAGTAGTTTCTGTGGCAGAAGACCAGCATATCAACTTGTCTTTTTCCCATGCCAGACAGACTGATGGGCAGCCACAGGGAGCCCTGATAGACAGTTCTGCTGAAGACGTACTAGCAAGGGACTCGTGGGTGGGGAGAAGGGCACCAGTTTTTCCAAGAAGGACCTTCCTACAAATGTTCAAAGATTTCACCCTTCACAGGTTGGAATTTGCGCTCAAACACGCGGTCCTCTGCTGGGATTATAATCTTGCTCCCTTGCCATTTGTTTTTAGATTGTTTAAGCCGTCTTGGGAAGACCCCTCTCTTTATCTCAGCTCTGGGGAAGGATGAACATTCAGAGTCCATCTTGCGTTACTGCCGCCACATGGTAGGTCATGCAATGACAGTTCCCCAGAGGAACAGAGATGATAATTGAACTTCTTTGGTGTACAGAAACCCCAGAGCTGCATGTGTATAATCCCCTATCATCATCCAAATGTACACAGCTCTCTAACCTGTGCCATCATTCTCCTGAATGCAGGCAGAACAAATCTATCTGGGCAGGGCCGGCTCCAGCTTTTTTGCCGCCCCAAGCAGCGAAGCCAAAAAATATATAAATAAATAAAGCCGCGATCGGCGGCACTTTGGCGGCAGCTCTACCGCACCACTTCATTCTTCGGTGGCAATTCGGCAGCGGGTCCTTCCCTCCAAGAGGGAGTGAGGGACCCGCCACCGCATTGCCGCTGAAGACCCGGACGTGCCGCCCCAAGCACCTGCTTCCTTTGCTGGTGCCTAGAGCCGGCCCTGTACCTGGGATAATAGCTCAATGGTGCTTGCATTAGAACATTGGACCAAAACTGCCAGGACTGGGAGGGAACTAGCTGGCTTTCTTCAACCCACTAACCTTATTGTGCATCAGTGGGATGTGTCTGGCTGATCATCCATATAAACACCAGAAGTCAGAGACCCCCTTCCTTCCTCAGGCAGAGCATCAGAAAGAGGTGGGAGCAGGGCTCTACCAAACTCTATTGGAGAAATCTGTCACTTCCGTTTACTAAATAATGTATTAGGCACCCATCTCCATGGAGCCTGGGTGCCTTACATCCATTAAAAACAAACCACCAACCAGTACTGTCCACATTGGGTATTATGGGATTCCTCACTGATGTTGCTCAGCTCAAGATAGGGAGGAAGTGGAACCGAGAACAGATAGGTGGGCTGCCACGAAGCTGTCTGCTGGGGGAAGCGAAACCTGAAGTCAGCTGAGTGTGGCAGAGAAGGGAAATTTACTCCATTTATGACTCTTCCTCCTGTTTTAGGACATGTCAGGAGTCCTTCAGCTTGCGGGGCACAGTACAGCTACCTACTGTGCAGTGATTACAGGCAGCGGAGAGCTCAGCCTTGGCTTGGGAGACATGGACATCCACCAGCAGATTACAGAGCAATACGTAAGGACGCCCTCTGACCTATACTCCTTTATTCATGAGGAGGAGCCTGGATGTGTGACAGCAGCAAGCATCTAGTGCACGTGTGCAAGATAATGTGCGCGCGCGTGCGCTTGTGGGTGGAGGATGCCTAGATAACATCATTATACATTGCAAGTGCGGCATACTGAAAGCAGCATCAACCTGTGGAAGCCTAAGGGTAGCCTCAAACTTGGGTCAGTGAAATGGCACTGCAGCAAGCTGCTGGTCAGCCAAAGCTACTTATTTCCAGCTAGCCAGATGGAAACGTAAAACATTCTTTTCCCAACTGAGGGTCATCAATGCTGCCCTATCCACAAAGTCTATGCCACCGACTTCTCGAAAACTAATCCAAGGCAGCCTATTTCTCTAGGCCCCTTTGAGCCCTCAGTAACTTCATGCTCACCGACCTGAAGATAGTGTTTCTCCTTTGGAAACCAAAATAGGTAGCATGGATAGAGCCCCGAAAGCCCATTTTCCTGTCCCATCACCTTCTCTCTACTCCCCCATCCTCTCTGTTTCTACATGCTGAGCTATTTAAACACAGCTAAACAGATTCTGCTTCTCAGCCTGGTGGTTAGGGAAGGTTTCAGGACATTAATGGAAGTGATGTTGATTCAAACAAACTCCCACAGCCCTACCCGCTTCCCCCACTAATTCCACTGTTGACAAAACAAGAGCCTGTACTTAACAACTGATGGTGATTTGGAAGGCAAGTGTAATTTACTTAGCAGCAGGGCCCCCAGGAGGTTCAGAATTCATAGGGGAAAAAAGTGGTCACTGCTCCCACTTCCATCTCCACCCTTCCCCTCCCTACCCCTTGCCATCAGACAGGAAAACAAAACCTTTACATGATGGGTTAATCCTCACGAGCTTTGCAAAATAACCAATGGAAACTCTGAGCCTAGCTACTGATGAAAGCTGCATTGTGGTGATGTTTACTTCAAGGAAATTTAGCAGAGACATGTGAGAGAGAGAGAGAGACTGCTGGAGTAGGGATGGAAGTCTATGGCACGTGGCAGCCATTTGTGCAACGTGTTGTCACGCCAGCCACCAAGAGCCACAGCAGGGCTGGGACACACATTACCGCAGTGTCTCTGAATTCTGTACGTTTGCCTCAGGGATGCCAGGGTTGTGGGAGATGGCTACTGTGATAGGAAGCATTTGCTAAAATGTTGTACCTTAATATTTCTAGCTAAGTAACAAGAAATGCTGGGCTGCTTACTTAAGTGATCAGTCCCTCTGCTCTCTGCTGCCATTCACCCCCAGGTGGTCAAGATCTGGAAGTACTGTAGAGACCGTATCTTCAGCCTCTGGGACAGGGAAAGCTTGATCTCACACCTGTGACCCCTTTGGGTAATTAGGGAGCAGCAGAGATGATGCATGCTGAAGAGAATCTCAATTCAGTTCTCACTGGAGGGAAAGATTGCACTGAGGTGAGGCCTCAGACCTAAGAGATAAAGGCAGAGGGGAAATAAGATTCCCTGAACGGATGTTTAAAGGCCAGTTAACAGGTTATGCATAAAAAATTGGGGGCATTTGAAGGCCTGCAAATGGAGTAATAGACACAAACACAGAGAGAAGGGGAATGATTTGAAGACCCAGGAATATAGAAGGTTAAGTATGAATATGGGAGTTTGAAGGCCTGTGAGTGGGATATGTTCAGTGTAACACACAGGAGCTCAAAGGCTTAAGACAGTGCTTAAAGTTAGGCTCCTGTGTCCATATTTAGGCCCCTAAAAAGTGGTCTGACTTTCCAAGGTAGTGAGCACCCAGAGGCTCCCATTGGCTAAATATGGCATTTGGAGCCTAACTTTAGGCACCCCACTTCTGATTGGCTAGAAAGTTCGTCTGGTTTTGGTGGTTTCTCCTTGGCCTTCATAGTGTGCAGGCAATTTCTAGCTAGCTCCTCTCCCCAAATGGGTTGAATGCGAACCTCTTTTCCTTCTGACTTTGAGCACAGGCTTCATATGCAGGTAGTGCATTTGGTAGGATTTCTTGGGTGGCAGGTACTCATTATGATAAAGGAATTTGGGGCTAGACTGATGGCTGTGTCACCATTATATGTTGGGATGTCCTCTTCTAACTCAAATCAGTCTTTTGTCACCTTTGTACTCATATCTTCTATTTATACCGTCACAAGGTTTCAGAGACATGAGGAAAACATGTTGGGCTGAATTCAGACCTGGCGCATTTGTTTATATCAGGTCTGAATGTGGCCTGTTATTTCTATTGTTTTGGTTTAGAACAGTTATTGAAAAAGGGCCAGATCTCAAAAGGTATTTAGGTGTCGAGCTGCCATTGAAATAAAAATATTTTCAAGGGTCTGAATAAACTGCCCTCTCTAGTCATTCTAGCTTGACCATGAGACATATTGTAAGTTTTAATGGCTCCTCTCCAAGAGAGTCCTGCAATTTAGTGTTGGTACTGCAATGGAGTGAGACATGGGGATCTGAGAATGAGATTTGGTCCCTTGCTCCCTGGTCTAGCTGAGATCAGGAGCTCTGTAGAGGCACCCCACTGGAACTCAAAGGGGAGGAAGCATCTCATTTTGCTCACTAGAGACCTTCAGTTGCTATAGGAGCAGCAGTAAAGATCTTGAGGGGGGGCCACCAGCAACCTTCCTCTGTGAGGAGGACAGGCTAGTCTGGTACAAGGCCTGATAGTGGAGGATGGGAAAGAGAAGGAAAAAAATTGAGAACCTGCAAGACCTGCTTTCTCTTGGAAAATGCTCTTGGTTCATGTCAAGCCTGCGTCTAAGAGTTTCCACAAAAATTGATATTGCAAATACATCCTAGCCACCTGAGTCTATCAGCGAGATGTGCTAGGTTCGCATATCTCATTCTTGTCCAGTTGAGTCAAGCTGGATCAAGCTGCCCCTGTTCTGTATTTTCACTAGGTGTCCAAGTTCAAGGAGAGTCTGTGCTTGGCCCCACTGGTATGTATTGATGGGAACGTACCAGTTGCCACCATTCAGTACGTCTGTGAAATTGCTAGAGAGCACCAGATAGCAGGTAAGGAGAACTCACTGCGAGTGGACCCCTTGGGGCATAATCCTGTGTGTTCTGAAACATGGCCCGCAAGGTGCTGAGCACCCTCTGCTCCTGCTAACTTCAGTGAGAGACTGAGGGCAGGTCCACACTGGGGCGGGGGATCGATATAGGAAACGCAACTTCAGCTACGAGAATAGTGTAGCTGAAGTCGACGTTTCCTATATCGAACTAAATTTACTTACTTCGGGTCCACGCGGCGCAGGCAGGCTCCCCCGTCGACAGCGCTTCCTCCTCTCGGCGAACAGGAGTTCCGCAGTCGACGGGGGAGCGCTTCTGGGATCGATCTATCGCGTCCAGATGAGACGCGATAAATCGATCCCAGAAGATCGATCTCTATCCGCCGAATTGGGCGGGTAGTGTGGACCAGCCCTGAGAGTTGAAGGCACCAACACTATCTTGCATCAAGTTATTCCCCTCTTTCCCCATGTTTTTTTTAAAATATATGAAATATGTTTTCACATATTCTTAGTTTTTCTTATTGTGCAGCTACATCAGATTTCTATCAGGGTAACATCTACAGCCTAGCAAAGGGTAAAGGTGAACTGAAAAGCTAAGCTGAAAGCTGAGGCAGGCACAGACTTGTATGCTGTATGCCTCCCATGGCTTGTGGCATTCAGCAAAGCAATACATTTTAACTTACCTATTTTTAAAAACCATTTGCCGCCCCTGCTCCCTGTGAAAATCTTGGTTTGCTGAAAACTCTTCACAACCCATCATAAGACTTCAGAATTGTTCCCCGCCTTCTTCAGAAGTAAGCTCTGCAGGGGGAGACAGTTCTCTAGACTCAGCCAGAAGGCAGAGACTACAAAGATAGTTCCTGCTGGCTGGCTGGCTCACTGGCCTGTCTATCGAACTAAATGCCCATTCCTGACTGTGCCTCTCATCACATCACCCCAGAGCCAGAAGCAGTTTAATCATTACTGTTGCAGTAGAAAGGGAGATTGAAGATAGCGTATCCTTTCCTGGCTATAATAAAGTGTAGATACCAAACACTGTAAAAATCACAATGAGCATTCCAAATAGCTGTCTGTCCTGAAGCCGAGAGATTGTTACACCAGCTAACCAACTACAATGTTTTTTTGAAGTGTGCTATGAGCCAACAGATGAGAACAAGGCTTCTAAGCCATTCCTTTCAGACAGCTGGAAAGCGCTGACCTACATCTCCCCCAATCTGCGAGAACTACGGGCAATAAATCGGACCCTCGGGCACCCTGTGCTGGCAGGTACAATACAGTGAAGTGGTAACGAGAGAGAAATACTTTCAGATTAACCTTGACACTGCATGGGGAGCTGCGTTTTCCCCACCCCTGCCGCCATTTCAGACTGACTGCTCCCACTGACCGCAAGTCCCTCGCTGTGCCGAACCAGCACTTCTAGAAGCAGCAGAGCTGTTTGTCATAGTGCTGCCTCCAGAAGAGTTAACTTTGGTTACCAAAACAGCTACAGCAGCTGGAGATTTTACAAAGCCCAAGAATCAGGGAAGGCCAGCTTTGGGCAGGGGCGTGATGAACTAGCTTAGAAGCTGCAGTTCACTGAAGCAGAGGAGCTGGTGACCACTGGTTGTGTTCTGAAAGAACATGGATTTTCTAGGGTTAGTACACAGACTTGTATTTGAATCAATTTCTATTTCAGTCCCTTTTTGTTTTTTTGTTTGTGTGTGCGTTAAAACAAATGCACTGAACCTAAAGACCCTGGTTAACTAATGAGGCACCTGGACCACCTCACAAAATCTCCACACGTTCTAAAACTTGATTCAGATAAGGCAAAAAACTAGTCCAGCAGAGAGTGCTCTAGGTTTGGGGTTGCTACATATCCTAGAGTTTGAGTCACTGTTTTTGTCATGCACGCTACAAGCCCAAGGAAATAGGATCACTAGTTTATTTCAGATGCCCCAGTGAAGCATCACAGCATGACGGTATTTGTCTTCAGACTGTGATGCTGTCTCTATAGGAGATGAAACATCACCCTATGCTGACACCAACACAATGGCATTAAGATACCGACAACATGACACAGTTATTTTGTGCCCCTGTACACATACACAGGTGTAAACTCATGAGAGGTGGCACCCTCGTTTCAGAATGGAGGTGCACTGGAGGGGCTGTGTGGAAGCTCAGGATTGGAATAGCAGGTATGGGGAGGGTTGCAGGTCAGGAGTGAGAAGCACACGGTGGAGCTGTGAGTGGGAAGTTTGCACAGTATGTCAGCTCTGCGGCTGCCTCTGGCCTATGCTGTCAGTGTTTTCCATGAGCATTGTAAACTCCCGGCTAGACTTTGAAAACCACTCACAAATAGGCCAACATCCCATGACATGGAAAGCTCAAGTCAGCAGTTTTGTGGTCTGAAGTGATGTTGCGGCTTTTCTTCCATTGCTGTCTAAAGAGCTGCCGTCCAGGCTGGAGGATGTTGTCAGGACTGCGATGACCCTAACCCACCCCTTGCTGACACAACTGCATTGTGTGGTGGTGACACTCGGCATGCATGGAGTCCTCTTGTGTGGCAGGAGAATGGAAGGGAGTGTCTCGCTGTGCCCTGGAACTCGCAAACAGGTAGGGAGCTCAGGAAGACCAACTGAGTGGCAAGGAGTTCTCATTCCCTTGTGCCTGGGAGCACTGGCATAGTAGTGACTCTTCAAGCCTCTCTCACCAAGGTTGATGCTGCTATACATTTACCTGTCCCTGGAGGACTGGACGGCTCTGAAGATTAATAATGGAAATTGAGCCTTCCTTTCCTATGCCACTGTGTGTCACAGGATGGCAAAGGAGGCAGGTCCAGGTCCACTGTGCCAGAGCAGGTGCTCTCAGTTTGGCCAGTTGAGAGGCCGAGGCAGCACTTGGGACTATAAATAGTGCCCTACCAAATTCACGGCCATGAAAAACGCATCACGGACCGGGAAATCTGCTCTCCCGCTGTGAAATCTGGTCTTTTGTGTGCTTTTACCCTATACTATACAGATTTCACAGGGGAGACCAGCGTTCTCAAACTGGGGGTCTTTCCCAAAAGAGAGCTGCAGGGGGTCGCAAGGTTATTTTAGGGAGGGTCATAGCATTGCCACCCTTACTTCTGCACTGCCTTCAGAGGTGGGTGGCTGGAGAGTAGCGGCTGTTGGCCAAGCGCCCAGCTCTGAAGGCAGTGCCTCGCCACCAGCAGCGCAGAAGTAAGGGTAGCAGTACCGCAACCCACCCTACAATAATGTTGTGACCCCCCTCCCCCACAGCTCCCTGACCCCTACAATTACAACATTATGAAATTTCAGATTTAAATAGCTGAAATCATGAAACTTACGATTTTTTAAATCCTATGACCGTGAAATTGACCAAAATGGACCATGAATTTGGTAGGGCCCTAACTATAAAGGATCCAGGAGAATCTGAAAGAGGAAGGAGACTCAGTGAGTGAAAACGGTCTTAGAGCACAGACTGAGTCAGTCAGGAAAAGGGCAGGTGAGAGCTTCCACACACCAGGGGAATGGTGGAAGGTCCTGCAAGGAAGCTGTAGTTGGTTCCTGGGAAAAGGCTAAAGAGAGGAGAGCAGCAAGAGGGGTTTGGTGGCTGGCATGTGTCCCTAAGCCAGAGGACCAAGGCTGAAGGCCAGAAAGCAGCAGTGGGAGTTGCCTGCTGACGTCTAAGCTGCAGCCCAGGGCATTAGAGAGGGCTGAAGATGGGAATAGCATCAGGGCTTACCCCACTTCACACTGGAGAGCTGGCCCCAGGGAAGCAGCGAGAGGGCCAGGGGGAGTGAGGGATGCTCCCCTGGTAAGGCTCTGGGGGTTCCTGCTGGGGAGAGTAGGGCTTACGCTTGCTGGAAGGGCTGGGGTGGCTGTCTTGGCAGAAGGACAGAGGAGGACTGACAAGAAGTCTAGTTGTGGTGGAAAATTCTGGAGTGTAGTATTTGGGGTGGCATGTTGTTGGATTTTTAAAGACTCTATGTACTGGGATGTGAGAAATGGACTATGTTTGGTACTTTTTGTTTTGGATTATTTGAAATATGTTTTTGGTAATAAACCACATCAAAGGACTGGAGGGTAAGCTTGCAAGGAGTTACTGGGGATTCTGAAAGGGAAACTGAGGCAGGTGCCTCAGTCATGCTGTAGCTTGCCATAGGAGGGCGCTCCAGGAAGGGCCATCCTACCATACAGTGATTCATATCTGTGGAGTGATCACAGAAAGTGATCATTTAAAATGTGCTTTCCCCTCAGTAATTAAGAATGCAAGTTTGAAACACTCTCCATGGACCTACATGCTAGTAAAACTTAGTTGCGCAAATCTTGGTGGAAAGCGAACCCCAAAAGGGTGCAAACATAGGCAAAGTTAATGTGATTCAAAATGTAAAGAAATAGTATTTGGATTCTAAGTATTGAGGCAACTGTGGGCAAGATCAGCCAGGTCCAAATATTGCTTCTAGACTTCGGTGAGTTCCCAGTAATGCCACTCCTCCTCTCCCTCTCTACAGAATGCTGCAGGCGAGCTGTGTGCCACCCACTACCCAGCAATCCCCATCTCCAGGGAAGAGATAGTGAATGTCTCAGGAGCAGGTGACAGGTATATTACTAATTACCCAGAGAAAAGATGCAGTTATGGGATTCCTTTATTTTGTGCAGCTGAATTCCAATCTGGAATTTTTAACACTACCATAAAGACAGATTTCACTCTGATACTTGGGAATTAACACTAAACAGGGCCGGCTCCAGGCACTAGCTAAGGAAGCAGGTGCTTGGGGCAGCACTCTGTCCGCTATTGGGGTGGCACATCCAGGTCTTCAGCAGCAATTCGGCGGCGGTCCCTCAGTCCCTCTCTTCCTCTTTGAGCTGCCGCCGAAGTGCCGCCGAAGAGGAAGAGAGGGAGTGAAGGACCCACCACCGAATTGCTGCCGAAGAATGGAGCGGCGCGATTGAGCTGCCGCTGAAGTGCCGCCGATTGGTGCTTTTTTTTCCCGCCGCTTGGGGCGGCAGAAAACCTGGAGCCGGCCCTGACACTAAATCCACCCAATAAGGAGTAAGGAACATAATTCCCCACAATGTGTACTAAGAATTTGCCCATAACAGCTTAATGTCTATTGAAGCCAGTCTGGCCACTCATCCTCCTTTTCCCAGAACTGGCTTGAACATATGCTACAGCATTCTAGGTCCCAGCAGTACAGCTACAAGTTCTGAATTACTCTGGGCTGGGCTGGGCTGCCAAACTTCTTGAAGTTTATTGGCTATTGAAGTACCATGGCAGTAGTCAAAATAAAGTAAACTACCTTAAGACAAAGCTGAATCAGTTTCTCTACAGTGGAAGTGAGACTTAACCTTCATTGTAAGGTTTGCTAAAAGTGGGACCCACCAGAGCCAGGAAGTGCCTTAAAGGCAGGAGTTGCCATACAAGTCAAAAAAATAACAGGAGTACTTGTGGCACAGTACTCCTGTTTTTTTTGTGTGGATACAGCTGCTACTCTGAAACCATACAAGTTCAGTTCATCAAGTCCAGTTTTCTGCCTGTGGGAGTAGCTGGTACCTTATGCTTTGAGTTCTCACCATACCTTACCTAATCATTGATGCAATGCTGTACATTGGGGTCGGATGGGACAGGCATTACTTACTGACCCCATAGTGATCAACTTACATCTTTATTATCCTCCTTGTCTTGTATAACTACATGTGATACAGTCATAATTATCCAAATCTTTTTTCATAAACTGCAATGACTGATATTTTACTGCAGTGAACTGTCAGGGAAGTCTGTATGAGGCAGATTTTTCCACATTTATTTGCCACCAATTTAAAGGAGTGATTAGCCTCCCACTTTCTCATGCTGGTGGACAGCATAAAAAGGGACTGGTTAGTTTCATGGGAACCTTAGTAATTCTGAGTACTTCAGTCAACTCTCCTCTACTTTATCCTTTCCAGACTAAATAATCACAATGTTTCTGATCACTCCTCGTATGTAAATCCTGCCATATCTTTATCCCTCAGCATTGCGTTTCTCTAGACTTTTTCAATCTCAGCCACATCTTGAAGGTGGGGTGACCACCACTGGGCATGATACGTTGAACAATGACCTAACCTCCTCCAGAATAATTGTTATAAGTGGCCTAATATCTTATCATTTGCTCTCTTTTAAAATTTACCTAAACTTCCTATTTGCTTTAAGCTGCTCCCCTGCCAGACATTGTCCATGATATGTCTGATGACACCTAGCTTTTGCTTCCTAGAGGACCCTGAAAGTTCAGGCCCATTAGTATCTGTATTACTGTAGTCCTATTAAAGTTAAATTGATCTGCTCTCATGAAGCTCAGTTTCTCTGAGTCCATTTGGCATTTCTCATGATCTTCTAGTTTCTATGGTGATTTCCTTCTCCTGCTGTCTAATAGCTGTTCCTTCGCTCTGCAGAAACCCTCTGCTCCATACAGTGCTGGGTGCAAGAACAGACTCCTTGTTGCCAGGCCTTTAAGACCAATGCTCACACAGGCTATATGTGCTGAGAAACCAAAGCGTACAGGGTGGCGGTGAACAGTTTCAAGGGATTGAACAATGGAATCTAACCAGAAGTAGCCAACACATTCGTGTCTCAATTAGTTTCACCTTCCAAATTCTGTGCGGGATCCAGCAAGGTTCACTGTGCTGTAGTTAATGGTGCCAAAGCTCTGACTTGGGGAAGGTGCTCAGAGCTACTCCAGTCTCAGTCTCTCCCAGCAGGAGGCACGGGAGGGAATGGTGTAGGTAGGGGCACTGGCTCAAGAGGAGCGTGCAGCTCATTTGTATCTTAAGGTTCTCTTGGAATCCCTGCCCAGATGGCTGGGTCTGCTGTCAGTTTGTGGAAGCTGTTTGCGCCCTGCACCCTGGTTGCTGTGACAACATAACAGTGCGTGCACATACACAGCACTGCTAAGGAATAATCCCCACCCCCCAAATATTCATTCCAAGTCTCAGGAGCTGTTGAGAGATTGAAAGGTCATCACAAACCACAATGTTCTGTGCCTTTTGTTAAGCAGAAACTGAGGTAATTCGTCTAAGTAAGAAATGGAAGTTTTTCCTTCCCATCCCCTAGGATGTAGTGAGAAGCACCTGGAAGCTCTTAGCAGTAGCCGCTCTCCAGAGGCTGGTACTGAGTGTAAATCTCTGCTGGCCCATAGCTACCAGATAGAGTGCTTGCCTGCACAGGGCAAGGGTAGCTAAGTGTAGCTCCCCAGACCCGATGAGGCCCTAGTGCTAGATGTCACCTGCAGCTGCTGTTGCCTTTACTAGGCAGATGAGACCTGCAGAGACCTTAGATGAACCGCTGGCTGAAAGTTGACAGGACTACTTTATCTGTAGAGGACTTCCTCCCTCTGCAAACATAGGAGCTCTGTTTTAGAGCCCTAAGCCCTTCCCCTGATATTAGTGCTATCTCTCTGCTTTTTTTAAATATCTCCTCCATTCTCCTAGGACTTCCCATTCATCTTCCCCACTCTCCATTTCCTTCACGTCACCACCCCTTTTTTCCTCTTATGATCTCCATCACCTTCTCTCTTCCTCGTCTTTCCTTTTTCCCTTCTTCCTCGTCTTCACTGCTGTTTCCTCTGTCTCGGTACTTATTTATTTAGATGTGTACAAATGCTAGAAAGAGGCTTCTATCCATATACCCAGATGCCCTTGATAGAACTTGAATACATCACACAGAATGCCCCACATGCAGCAGCAGAAGTCAACAGAACCAGCCACCAGCAAGTCAGGCAGCTTAGAAGCTCATACTCCCATCCCCCATCTTCCAACTCCAACAATTCCCTACCTTTATCCTAACTATTCCCCACCCCCATTGTTAAATGCCTACGGGGGGGAGGGGGAGATCTTGAATGGTCTCTTGCAACATGTGGTAACTCCTTACACTGAGCAGTCTGTTCCACCTTGTACTTAGCTGTGATGCTGGGAGTACCTTTCCCAGATCTGAAGAAGAGGTCTGTGTAACTCCAAAGCTTGTCTCTTCACAAACCGAGGTTGGTCTAATAAAAGATATTACCTCACCCACCTTGTTTCAGAAAATTAAAAACAATTTCACAAACATCTCACAGGCAGTGCACTCTGCCCCAGGAGACTGGGAGTAGCCAGATGTGCGCGTGACAAAGGAAGGAATCTCCTGTTAACTCCTCTGTTATGGTAAGAAACATCACTCAGAGTCTCTAAAGGAAGTTCTGTCTCTCTTTTTCACATCCCAATGGTACTGGGAGCTTCTTAAATTAAGGCACTGAGGCTCAGTAGTGAGCTACATATCAGGGGCGCTGGAACAATTTGTATAGTGGGGGCGCTGAGAGCCACTAAACCAAACTGTAAACCCTTTATATGATGGAAACCACTTCAAGCCAGGGGGTGCGGGAGCACCCCCAGTTCCAGCACCTGTGCTACATATTCTGAGCTCTACTGGTCATGTCTGTACTGAGTAGCCATGCAGCACTGACTAACCTCCCAAATAGGGCTGCTAATTTTGGTTGGACATATTCCTGGAGGTTTCATCTCATGACATAATCTTTAATTAAAGGTTAATCTTTAATTTTTGGAGACTCCAGGATAATCCTGGAGGGTTGGCAACTCTATTTCCAAAGCCAGTGGCATGCTGGGACAGTATAAAATGAGGGGGCACTCACTGTTTTAAAGTCTTGTCACGAACCCGGGAAGGAACATCTCCTGGACACGATACCCATCGCCATTAAAAGGATAATGTCTGTGACCCAGTGTCCTGAGGTTGGGACACGACAAGAGAGGAGACTTTCAGTCTTCCTTAGGGATACCCAAACCCCTTGTTAGACCCTCATCTCCCCCATCCCAGTTTCTGTTGCTTGTAGGTTGAGTTGCTGTAGGGACCCTTGGCTCTTAGCTTTGTTTTGTGAGTAGAGACACTTCAGTCTCTCTTTGGGATGGCAAGGTCTGCAGAATCAAAACCATTCCCCAGTGTCCAAAGCTGCGTTTTCTTTCTCTTTCCAGTTTAATGGCAGGGATAATCGCTGGGCTACTTGCTGGGCATGACACAGATACCTGCGTCCGGATGGGCCTGCTCGCTGCCTGCCTCTCCCTCCGTTCATACGAGCCCATCTCCCAGGAGATCAGTACTGTCAGCGTGAACCTGGAGCAGGTCAAGGCTAGGAGCTGGCCAGAGGTGAAGATGTGGAAGATGAATTAGAGCTCATGCTCTAGAACTCTAGCAGATGTTACCTCCCCATTCCAACCACACCTGAAGTGCAACATGACTTCAGATGTCCACCCCCCACTGTCAATCCCCCAATGCCACACAGCCAATATCTGGTACTGCACCTCCCAGAAAGCAACAACAACAACAACAACAACAAAAAAATCAGGGTGCCTAAACAGCTTGGGTTGCACCTTCCTGAAAAAGCTTGTATTTCTTCCTCCCATCTTCGTAGTGTAGACGCCAACCAGCTGTTCCTCCAGCCCAGAGAGTTGAACCAAACTCCTTTCAACAGCCCTGCTCAGCCACCACTTCGGCAACACAATGGATAGCTCAGACAATATGCTTATTATATATGGGCTGGCCGAACCGCAGCCCACTGGCACACAGTTCTAGGAGATGGCCCAGTGATCAAAGTAGAGCATTGTATGCTGGGACTTAAATATCTAGAAACTTCTATAGCCCCTCTGCAATGTCCAACTGCTTCCAAAACACAAATGAATGTAAGCTCCCATCTCCTCACTGAGGTGGGGAAGCACTGTTCTTGTCTTACAAATGGGGGATGGGAGGCACAGAGATTAAGTGACTTTCCCAAGGTCACAGTGAGTCTGTGGCACAGCTGGGAATGAAACCAAGATTTACCCGCTCCCAGCCCAGTGCTTAACCACAAGACCATCCTTCTACCTATGGCTTTTCTGGCATCCATCTTTTTATTACTGAGGGCAGTAACAATTTGCACCATTAATACAAATTAGATACAGTCCTTCGGCTGCTGGCAAGTTGCTAATCCTCTGACCACTGAGCAAACAAACCTATGAGAAGTAGGTTTATTCCATCTGGCATTGGGGTGCTCTAAGGGTCACATCTCCCCCCCCCCCTTATAAAGCTGCAGGAGGGTTAGCCACTGGCTGACCCGGAGGCAGCAAGTCAGACCCCCTTTCCTGGATGGGACTTCTGCCACCATATTCTGTTCCCTTCATTTGGAAAAAAGATGTGTTTTGTCTCCTTTGTCCATTCTGTCTCCAAGACATAATATCAGAGAGGATCTATAATCTCACCTACAGTGCCGTTACAAACATTTCACAGTGACATTAATGACCAGTGTGTTAGTAGATTTCCAACAATATATTACATGTCACCTTTTATATAAATATAACTGGTGTGAGAGGTGTATGAGGTTGTCAGGCCTGACAAGAGTCGCGGAGACAGAGTAGTGAATTACCGCTGGGCCGCTGTGTCACAGGAGCCTAAATACCTCAGAGGACCTGGGGCTAGGTACCACCCACTCAAACCATTTTCAGGTCACAAGTGACAATGAAGGTGATGATTTTAACCCAATTCCTAGCTCACCTCACAAGAGCCACTGTGCAAGTCCATGTGCTTGCAGTTCCAAATACTCAGAAGACATCCATGGGGTTTTACAAGTTAGATGGAAGTATACGGTTAGCGAAACATCCTGTTACTGTTTCAGCCTGAACTTGCTGGCAGTGCTAAAGTGGTCTTCAAAAAGTGGGAGGTTTCACGCAAGCTGGGAGCAGCAGCAGAGGTAAGACAGTGCTTAAAGAGAGAGAGAGAGAGAGAGAGTGTGTGTGCGCGCGCCCCTCAGTGATTCAGCTTGATTTTTCCCTCACTGGGTCTCTAACCCCCAACCTTGCAACTTTAAGCACTGCTCCTTGGGGTTGTTCAGTTTTCAGCTTCAGAGTTCAGTGGACTGGTGGTTGTCTGTGCAATTAAACCTCCTTCACTGGTGCCCTTATTGATAGAGAGCAGTTCGGGGGTGGGTGTGTAGCATTAGCCCTCCAGTATTACAGTGGCCCAACCTTCCTCCTCTTCAAAATCAGCGGGTAGTGTTAGCAATTCATTGGCTAAATTCAGCAGCAAGGCCAGCTAAGGTGGATGGTTAGCTTTTCTCTCACCTGTGAGCACTGGAAGTTGTGCTTTGCACCACAGGAAACAAAGCAGGAATCTTCTCTGCCTGTTATACAGTCTCAGGGATATTCATTTTTCACTAAGGCTTTGTCTACACTATGATCTGGGGGTGTGATTCCCTACTTGTGTACACATACTCGCACCAGCTCCCATCGAGCCAACACCTTTTCCCACCACCTTTGTGTACTCAGGGGGCAACCTCAGCCTAACCAAAGAGTGGGCGTACCAATGGTCTTTCCATTGGAAGCAGTGAAAGAAACACATACCCCCAACATCCCAGTGGTGAAAGTGCATAATCAGTCATCTAAAGTATTTAAAAATGTATGGTTGTAAAAGATGCCTTTGAGACCAAATTAGCCCCTTCCTCTCATGCCCCTCCCTGCACCTGATGTGCACTGTTTGCCAGCAGATCCATTTATTTATCTCAATCCTGCCTGCAAATAGTTTAGCCAAAATATTCCATGATCACTACTGGGAAAGAGAACACTAGACACACACAGATACCTTTGAAAAGAGGAGGGGGGGGTGTTGCTAGTGGGAGGGCTGTGAGAGAGTTTGGGGGAGGGGGAGTTTCCCAGCAGTAGCAGCCAGGTTTGCAGGTATAAGACGAAAGCTAGAATTTCAGTGTCATTGACACCCAGAAAGATGGGTGGGGTGGAGGAAGATCTCTGCTTTATAAAAGGGTTTCCGCCGCCCACACTGAGCAAGAGGCAGTTCTGATCCTCCCTACAACCACCTGGGCTGGGCACAGGAACACACAGTAGCTGAGAAGAAACCAGAGCCCAAGGATGAAGGTTTATGCAGTGACCACCATTGCTGTCCTCTGGGTGCAGCTCTCTTTCATGGTTCAGGCTGGGGATGGGAAAGGGTTGGTAGCTCCAGAGAAGCAAGTGGGGGCTGAGAGAGCGAGAAAAGCACCTCAGCCATCAGATGGAGGAGAGAAAGCGCCAGAAGGCAGCTCAGTGAGGTGTCAGCCTGCTGCCAGAGTGCAGAAGGCAGCCGGAGAAGCTGGAGTTGGAGCAAGGTCCCACATCAAACTGCTGAGCAAGCCACAGCGAGAAAGCAGTAAACAGAAGGCCACTAGCAAGCAGCAGAGCCCCCAGCTGCAGCCCGCCAAGAGAAAGAGCCCAGGATCCAGCAACCACTTGGAAGGCCACGGGAAATTCAATACTGACACTGTGAGTATAACACCACACCACTGCCCTCCGCCTCTATCTTGCTTCCACCTCAGACTCTGTCCCTGCCTAACAGCTGCCTCTGGGGTGGTGGGGAAGTGACCCTAGTTCATCTCATCAGAGGGTGAAATAAAAACCAATGATTAAGGTCTGGGGAGACAACAGAGAATGTCCTCTTCCCCCAGCCATCCCATCCTGAAGGAGCCGCATACTGAGGGTTTGTATGGGAGAGTCGGAGCGAAAGAGTTCTTGGGGGGGTCTCTGTGCCTGCCTAACAACCAGCTAAAGCCATCAAGGGGTTCTCCTAGTCTGTGTGGTATGCGCGCATACAGTTTTGTGATCCAGTCTAGCTACTCTGTCTGCAGGGCTTAAAGTGGTGTCACCGAAGCTCTGGGTCTGTCATTCACTAGCTCATAGTCAAATTACAACTTGTTTTTCAATATTTCTGGGGAGATTATCTTTAATACTAAACAGCAGCCATAGCTCAGATAGCAGTGTGAGATAGCCTGTCTTTGCCAGTCAGGAACCTCGACACCCTGCTCATAGGCTAGCCAGGGACGGGTGCAGAGCACTGGCGCAGCAGAGCTTGTCTCTTCTTAGAGTTCAGCATAAACAGACGAGCCCAGTTCTAAGCTGGAAATGCAAGAAGAAGTGTACAGAAATCTCATTCCCAGGCCGTTTGTTCCCTTCTAAACAAGTGCGTTATGATTAAAACAAAGTGAATAATTTGATTTTTCAATTTGGTGCTGAACCAAACCCCCAAATATTCGGTTTGTTTTAAACCAAAACGAGGTTTTTTCCTCCAGTGTTCCCTTGCCAAAACAAGAAAAAAAAAAAACAAATTTTCTTCTGGTCGAATGAAACATTTTGAATGGTGATTCAAAACGACATTTCCTAAATGACATGTTGACACAGTCCAGTTTGAAAAATGTCAGAAGGAAACTTTCAACATTTTTGAATTTTTTTTTCAGCTGAAACTATTTGCTGAGTTCGCCTCAAATTCATGAACAGTTTTGGGGCCCTGAATATTATTTGGCAAATTTACTATTGGTTGAAAAAAATTCACCTCACACTAATTATGTCACCATTGCTGGTACCATTCATCAACATATTTTCAAAACACAGGTGTCTGGAGCTGGGCAACTAAATATCAACTTTAAGTGTCTACGTTTAAAAATAGCATCTTGACAGAGCAGGTGGTTTATAGGGGCTGTAGCCCATGGGGGCTGAGCTCCACCTCCAATCAAGGGGTGCTGCTATGGATGCACTGAATACCTGACTTACATCACTTCTCACTGCAGTGGTCTTAGATCTGCCACCCAGCTTCACCCAGGCCACTTTAAACTTTGGCCAAGGTTTGATGACTCACATTACACAGATACCAATCTATAGCGAGAGGGCTTTCTTTATACCAGCATGAACCTCGATCAGCATCTCATCATAAGGCTGGTAACACAGCTCCTCCTTAGCGCCTATGACATAGTGTGATGGGGCCACTACCCCACACTGGCAGAGAAAGGGTTAACAGAGCCCTGGGGAGGCTGCGTGGGAAACAGCCAGTAGGAAAGGGACTGGGAGGGACAGCCAATCAGGGCCCAGAGGGTCCATATAAAAGGGAGTTGCAGGGTAGGGGCAGTTGCTGCTGGGAGCCCAGGGAGCAAGGACTGTGTTCCTGGAGGGCTGAGTGAACTGTAAGCACCAAGGTTGGACAGAGCAGTGACTAGTTCCTGGGACTGAATAGCTGAGGCCCTGAGATTAGGGGCTGGGGCCATGGGAAGTGGCCCAGGGAAATAGAGCAGCATTGACCAAGGTTACAGAGAAGCAACAGGAGGCTGCTATTTACAGGGTCCCAGGGTTGGGGCTTGGAGTAGTAGGTGGGCCTGGGTCCCCCCCACTCACCAGAGGGGAAGTGGCAGGACTGTTGGACAGAAATATCCCCCCCCCCACCTCGGAAGGGGGGAAAAGTGGATGGCAACTTAACCGGGGGGCTGAGTTGAGAAGATGACACTGCGGTTCTGGGAGCTGAGAGAGGAGCCATAGGCAGGAGCAGAGACAGAGTGCCGGTGTGCACACCACAGACGGGGACATTGGTCTCAAGTTAATCCCCAGCACGACCAGGAGGAGGCGCCAGTGACACATAGGCTCTGCTGTCTATCAATAGATCAAACTTATCCTACTCAGTATTAACAGTCAAAGTCAAATTAGAGTTGTACTTAAACAGGATACTGTTTAAGAGAATGAAGAAATGGATAAACCAAGAAATACGATAAAGAAAAACATCTCCTTGAACTTTGTCTAGGTAATGACTACACAAACCCAACTGCAATGGGTCGTAATTGCAAAAACTAAAGGGTGGTAGAGGTAGCTGTACAAGCCAGAGTCCCCTGTCTGCACCCTTTGCTTTTCCCCCTTTGCCCTCCCCAGTTCAATGGCAGGTATCCAGGAGAGAGCTGATCAACAACTTCTCCCACAATTGCATGTCCTTCTTTCTGGAAGGGACTGTTTCTTATCTAATAAAACCCAGCTCATTGTCCATGTCCTTGCACTGAGTGTCCACATGTACTATTTTCAGTTCATCCAGGCCTACTCAGACTTCTTCCTCCTAGCTCTCTACATTGGCGCTCAACTCTATAGAGAAATGGGTGGTTTCTTCCTGCAGGTTCATTCCAGCAAATTTCAAATGGATGAGGAGAGAGCTACGCCACCTGGAGAGAGCAGAGATCTAGTACCATGGTCCTTCCTTCAGTCTCAGTTGATTTATGGCTTTTAGAATTTTTGTTTTGTTTTGCTTGTTACGTTTGTAAAAATGGAACTGAAGCCCCCGGACCTTTCTAGATCCTTGTAATCTACCATTTTCTGTCTCTAAATAGAGCCAAGGTCTAGCTAATGTAGATTGTACATCCAGACCATTTAAGAAAAATGAAGTGAGGAGCCCAGAACAGGCAACAAATGCTCATCACATTACTTCATAGTCAACTTTGCAACTTGGCTTCATTTTCTCCTGGATTCATTAAAGATCCCTCCAGCTGTCTAGGAGAGATAAA